ATCTCTATATATAGATATATATATATATATATATATATAGAGATTCATGCATGCGGTCTTGCACTTAAACTAGCACATTGTTTTCTCATTGTGATTGGAGAGGAACTGAGCGCATGACACGTGTATATAGTCTTTGTCTGCAGTAACCGGCTCAAAAACCACGATTTGGCTACGATAGCGGCTCAAGCACATTATCACCTCGAAAAGCTGCGAACGTGTCTTTCGATTTAACAGGATTGGCGGCTGGAAGGCGGGGCTTTGAGGGTCCAATCAAGGCTAAACAATGATCGAAAAGCACACGAGAGAGACGCAGACTACGTCGCGGGCGCGAGCTGCCGCCTTTCAGCCGCCAACTCCGTTGAATCAAATGGCAAAACCGCTCTATCACACGAATTGCAATACCACTCAACCGTGGTTTAGCTTCTCTCCAAGCTTGTAGCTAAAAAGAAATATCCTCGAGATAAGGTGATTACAGTCGCCATAGGCGTGATGTGCTTATGTGAGAGTCAATTCGCGTAACCAAAGACAAGAGGTACGTTTACCATGCGCTAGGGTTCCTCCCTCTGCCACTGGGAACACATTATTATACTAGAGCAAATTCAGTACCACGGATTGGGCACTGTTTAAGAGTATTGTACAATTTATGGTCGAACTTCAACCTTCGTTAGAGCTAGCAGCCAGAATATTACTAAGGACTTAGCAATGGGCAAATTAATAGTTTGTAATTACTTCGCGAACATTCGCTGACACCTCAGTGGCCTCAATTCATTGATTACACTGCAGACAAAGAAGAAGGGAATTTCAGTATTCAAGCAAGAGAGTAACGAACAAACAATGTTCACATTTTTTGGGACATTCTGTACTTATACAAGAATGCTTAGCCACTTTCAGGAAATTGAAAGAAGTCATGAGCATTTGCAGTCCAAATTTGTTAAGCTTCAAGGCATAAAATCAACGAAAAATATCTGAAAAATACATCATCAAAAATACATTTTTGTATCAAGTATGTTAATTATTAAGAAGAAACACGCCAGTGAATATCCGCACAGGCGTTTTAATTCATTCGAAGCTCAACAAATTTGGACTTCCAAACGCTCATACTTTCTTTCACAGAGTTATTCAGCGGAAAAAGGAGTACAGATTTAAAGTCGAGTTTAATGCTGCTTGAACTGATAAAGTACTCAGTTGCAAAGGCTATTTTGACTAAAAAAGACTACTTTATAAGCAAGACATGGTACAATCGTCTCAACTTACAGAAACTGTGCCATGTGTGCGTAACTTACAAAAGCTGTGCGTAAGTTCGAGTAGATTTGTACGCATACGACAATCCGCCGAGTCGCATGCCTACCTCGATTTGGTTCAATCGGTTCAGGCATGACAGATATATGATTAAAACATTACAAGAACTTGCAAGACAATGAGCCTTTTTCGCATTCTGCGCGTGACCTCGATAGATGGTGTCGGCATTGTTTACGATAAGCATATTATCCAACGAAGGCCCTGACAGCCGAGCCTGCGCGACGAATGCGGCATGTCATTCTGTCCCAACCTAAGAGTCGTCTATTAAACACATGACCATACTTCTTCCGCCTCACCCACTTCAGTAAATGACAGATCATTTATTTCCTTTTGCGGCAACAAAAGCATGATTTGAGGTGGCTGATTAATGTTTAGCGTATATGACAAAAATCAGTCGTAATGCCAAGTTCAAATGTATATTTTTCGAAGGCAAAGCATTATTTTAAAAACTTTGCGTTCATTCTCAATCAAAACTCGCACTTTCATAAGAATTCGCAGCCGTCGATATTAAAAAGCATTGAATTATGCATGAGTATCTACAGGGCTCTTAAATTGCAGAGTCGTTTGCACCAGCGGTCGCGCGACCGCGTCGCGCCCGGGCATTTTGCCGGCGCCGGCGCCATCGATCGAGGCGGCGCCATTGATGCCCGGGCGCGACGCGGTCGCAACCGCCGATGCAAACGACTTTGCAATTTAGGAGCCCTGTATGATGCTTTATAGATTTGTACTAGGGCAGGAATCGTAGCTTAAGCGCGTGTTGGTTTTTATAGCATGAAAGTCCAAAAACTATGTTGTAGGACGAAATTTGAAAAATCCTGGATGGATATTATCGTAGGCATGCAATGCTTTGATGTAAGAGTCAATTTATGATAAACGCTTCATGATTTTAGGATGTTTTATCTAGATATCTGACAAGCCTAGTCGTAGACGACGGAATACGCGCGGCCGAAATGTTACGAGAGTATGACTTGTACAACAGAGATTTGTACTGATACAAGGTTTGGCCGCGCACAGCTTGCTCCGCTGCGGCCACTTCATGAAGTCAACGACGCTTCATCGTCAATTTCTGTCGTCTTCCAGGATTTTGCGTAGGATCATAAGGGTGTGGGTACACACGCAATAGTATGCAAAAAGACCAAGTCGTCGCCAAACACGGCGGCGGTATCTGGTTTGAGGACGAACATCTAAGCCACAAGTCCATAAGTGCAACGTCTATGCTGTTACTTAGGCAATTCCACAGTGAACAATTTCCATGTGCGATCCGTATATCTTTAAAGGCAGTGTCTCACCAAAGTTGAGGTCGCGCGGATCTTCACATATTCTATTATAGGGACCTCTAAATAGGCCATTGCAACAAGTCCCACTCAATTTGACCCCCTCCACGCTGAGAAAAACTCGCTCAAAGTGGTACGCGGAGAGCGAGTTGGTACGCGCGGACGACTCTTTCGGTCTCCCCCCTTACGCGTTTGAACATGTCTCCACTTGGCATCCACCTCCTCTCTGTTGGTGCCGCTGTGACTCACGCTGAATTTGGAACGCGCAACTCGTCCTTGTTGCTTCCGCCGGGCCTCCAGAAAACGGGGTTTTTGGGAACTTCGTGCGATTTTAAGCCCATACAGTGCTAGACAGGGTCCGAAAAGCTTGCAAAATGCAAAGATCTCGGCAACTAAATTTTGGTGAGATACTGCCTTTAATGCCTAAAGGCTGCTTCTAAAAGGACCCTCATACCGTCTTTTGGAATGATACTGCAACTAAAAAAGAGTTGGGCATCAGCGCCAATTTGTTTGAAAATTCTATCGACGATGTTTATTTCATTGAATTAGTGAACTTAGTGAATAAATTTTTCAAGATACATCTGACTGCATTTTATTATGAGGAACTTTCCAGCGATTGTAAAGAGCGAGAGCACAGATTAATAGTCTTCTATCGTTAGTAGTTTGGCGTGCTGTTTCTTTCTTGCATTTTTTTTGACAGGTCTTCTTCCTCTTGCGACCTTTACCTTTACCTCTCTGCGTTGGCATATCACAGGCAATGTCGATAAGCTCGATTTCCAAGAGCTACTTTGATTTTCCTCTCAAAAGCAACTAGCTGCGCTTTTTTACATTTGTGAATAGTGTTGATGCATATGAAAGCTTTCGGACACCAACATGTCCAGAATTATCGGATGGTTTGAATGTTACTATTTAGGTTCAAAGTTGTTGGTACATTTCACGTCTGTTATCTACACCAAAGGCCTACCCTAGTATATAGCTTCAAGTGCAAGTTCCTTCCATTACATTTGAGCTTTCCGGAAGCGCTTAATTCGAAATGGCTCTAAAGAGCTTATAGACGTCATTTGCAGTAGACTGAGGAAGGTCAGAATTTGTCAAGCGGAACATTCTCTTTGAAGAGGGGAATCGGCTCAAAGAAGGCTACATAAGGAAGCTCTAAGCATCTGTAATAAGCTGTTATATCGAACAGAAGCTCATTGTCGTTTGTGCCACGATTTCCAACTTTTTGTATGATTCGCGATGATCCATGATGATTGACCGCCTTGTTTTCGAAATTATTCTTCTTTCTTTGGGATTGATAGATATCCTAAAGTTAGCATTTTTCTGACCGGAAAAATGAACAATTACAATATCTTTGGAAAACACAAGGTTTGAGTTGTGAGCATTGAAATTTTCCTTACCCCGATACACTTTATGTTCCTGCCAGAAATGCTTAGCACTGTTGGGCTAGATGAGCAATACAACTTCAAGTTGTCATAGACTACAGACTTCAAAGAGAGGATCGTTGGAGAAGAGACGGTCGGCCGTCACGGATCACTGGAGAGGAAGAGGGGAGGGGGGGGGGGGGTACGGAAAAGGCTGAAAATCTGTTATTTTAATCGACGTTTCGTTTTTTAAAGGTTTTCACGCTTAGGGTTTAGGGTCAAAGGGGACTTCGCACGAAATTCTCAAGATCGAAGGAGACTTCGTTTCAAAAATTTCCTGGTGCCAGCTTGTGCCGATCACTGGACTACGCTATTCTTTTAAGCTACGAGCCTCTAATCCGTAAGTACATACATCCAGTAAGGGACTTGAGCTGTGAAGGCAATTCATACCTAGGGTGTGCAGGGGATCTGTACTCCATGTCTATGGGTGGACGCTGTTATAAGTAATTTATTCGGTGCAATGAAGTCTTCGACAAATCTCGGGGTGGTGCTCCTGGTTAAATTTGATGTAACACGAGTAATGGTCTAAAACCATTTACACCTGGAAACAGCGTCCCATTTCACTCGCTGACAAATTTTTCGCCTTTTCAAAATTTCTTGCAGATAGGAAAGATTCGATCTGCAATGGTGAGTTGCTTTCTGAAGTTCTTACTTTACTCCTTCAGTGATTACCGCTTAATGATTCGTTCTACATTAGAGATGAAAGGCGAAGTCCTTCCCAAGTCAGCGCTTATAAGTAACACTCAAACAATGGACATTTTTCGGAACACCGTATGACATTTTGTCTTACATCAAAGTTGAATCGATGTTTTTGATTGCATAGTTTTGCAGCCCCAGAGCTTTTTGAAACAGCAATGCTTTGAGCGGTCTCAAGGTGTGTTGGATTGAAATTCAAATGTTGTTCTAAAACAATGTTGACATTACGGACTTGCATAACATCAATGAAGTTTTTTAAACGTCTTCAGCAATTCTCTCTTGGCTATAGACTAAACTTGACTGCTTCAAAATGTCCATTCTCATCGCAGGTGTAATACTTCTACTGTCTACGTCTACTTATACAGCACCTTCTCTACCTTACACAAGTACAGTACACTTAACCCTTCTCTATTGAAATCTTCTGGAAGAGTGCAAATATCCAGGTGCTTCGCAAGTTCTTGAAGTTATTACTAAGATGAACGAGGCTGAGTGGCAAGAATTCATTAAGGCTATGAAAGAATACGGACCTGAGCTGGTAAATCCTGACGATATTTTCCAGAAGCCTTGCTTCTATTTACAATGGGAAACGACCGGCAAAACTGAAATCTCTATCCACTCATCAAATTCAGTTTTTTTTAATCCTTCACTTTTAGACTGACTTGCACCTATCTCACACAAACAAAAAAGTCGGGAAAAAGCTATGTAAGATGGAGAAAAAATTTGAGAAGCTGGATCAACCAGCGCGAGACTTCATCGGCAAAGTAAGCACAAGAACAGTTCATAAGCTGTTTTTAATTTTTGCAAAAGCTACACTTTGTGCATCGATGATCCAAACAATTTTGCTACCATCATTGATTAAACAACATATTGCACAGATCCTTGATTATGCCTTAGCGGAACAGAAGAAGCAAGGGGACCCAAGTCAAAAGTAATAGTTATAATTCCTCACGAAATTTATGTGCTGCAATTCTTTTTCAGTGTAAAACTTATCATGAAAGAGTTCAGCAACTTCCGTACTGATAAGAAATCATGCAAGAATCTCTTCAACCTGTACCCTGATCTGCAAAAGCTCGGTAGGTGATGTCCTCCCATCGAGCAAAATTGGTGAGTCACTCAGTAACAACTAATAGTTTCTTCATGATACAAACTTACGCATCCTTTCATACACATGTGATTTGGTCCATGACTAGTTTTACTTTTCAGGAAAATGCGGCACGTTAGATAAACGAAGGAAAATTTGAAGCTTGACTCTTTCAAACCCTGACGAGAAGATCCTTTGCTATGATATAGATATAAAGCGTTCCATAAAGTTTTATAAAGTTATCGCCGTAGCTCTTTGAGCAGTTGCAAGAATTCGCTCCTCTGGTTCTTAGAGGTTTTTACTCCGCATTTCAAGGAAGCGCTGATGTGAGAATCTGAAGATTTTCTTGCAATATAGCCAGTCAATTTACTAAATAATTTCTTTTTCTTAGATCAATTATCCAAAGAAAGTGAACTTTTCAACAATATGTTGTTGCTGTTTCAACAACAGCTTACCGAGAACATCACAGAAGCCTGTTGTTTCAAAGCTAACCATCTTCTGTATCTGCCAAATGATCGTTGATGACAGTCGAGCCTTGAGTAGCTTAAAATCCGTAACGTCCGTGTTTTCGTTGCAATTACGTGTATAAATTCACCAAAGACCGAAATTGTCAAAGAAATAATTTCTTACAAAGAAAGGATATTTGGTCGAAATGGAGTTTTCGAATAAAATGTGTACTTTTTGTAGAGCACGGAGCGCTGATTCCAGATCTGCTGTTGGTATTTGCAATGCGCTTTTGAGAGAAGAGTTATAGAGGTTTCCATGTTTCGCTTTCTCAAAATTTGTGCATAGTATAAATCTTCAAGTGTTCTGAGGCACACAAGTTTTTGGATGCCGTATTTATCCAATTACCTCCTAATGTTTCGACGCCCTCGTTTTTCTCAGAGACCTCCCCTAATTCTGCTAGTTCTCAACATTCGCTCAGCTTTCCTGCAATAAAATTTCAGGACAGAAGATGAGCGTAGCGAAAGACGCTAACCGAAAGTTTTCGGCACGCTCATCTTCTGTCCCAACATTTTTATAGTAGGAAAGGTGAGCAAAGGTTGGGAACTACAAGGACTAGGGGAGGCCCCTGAAGAAGACAAAGGCGTCGAAACGTTGGTGAAATAAGACCATCTAAAAACCTGTGTAACTCAGAACACTTGAAGAATATGTACGATGCCCAGTTGCAAAGAATGAACGTGGAAAACAGTTATAGAAGGTTTTGGACAAAATTTCTAGGGTTTGGCTAAAATGAATACAGATATTGATATTGAGGATGCTCTGTGGAACTTCACCTCCACAGGCCCTAGTTCTGAGAAAGCATGAAACATCCAAGTTAAGAAAACTAAGTTCGATAGTTCTAGAGACTAGGGCCTATGCAAAGCTGAATTTTTAGGTTATACTTATAAAGTCCTGTGATATACAATTACATGTCTGAAAACAGTGTAGCTTAATTTTTTCTATAAGCAGAAAAATTTTTGTTTTCTCGATTTCTAGATGAGGAGGAAACACAACAACAGAGAGTTGAGTGTTTGATATAGTGTGCAATTTTTGTAAGCAAGTCGGAAATTGTAAGATTTCTTTGAACGAAGATTTGAACTTTCCGCGATTTTTGAAACTTGAGGTGGTTCCAAAGTTGTTGCCAACTTCTGCATAACATCTTGAAGAGCTTGCTTTGCTCTATCGAATAGCACCCTGGAACCCTATAAAAAGTATGAAGCATACCCTTATCACCGTAAGTAGTTAAAGCGTAACAAGACTTGTTACAACCTAATATATAAAGTGAAAATCATCGCCTTTTGGATAAATGTTCAAAGTCTAAGTCAGAAGTCACTTTTTTAGTACAAAAAAAAAATTGAAAATCTCATAATTGTTATAATGGACCTACTACAGAAGGGCTTAGAATAAAAAGTTTAGATTTTTTTCTTTTCTAGCTCTTTTCGTCCAATCTGTTTTCATTTGGGCTTTTACCGTTGGTTCAGCTATGCTTATTAATTTTTGCAGAGTCTGGCTTTTGAAGGAGTTCCTGGATCTATAGTGGCTCCCCAGTATCGCTGGTAGGATAAGATGTGGAGATGAAGATTTACGTCGTGGAGATTGAGTATCTGTCCATGTAAGACAATCAGAGCAGTACACGGAGCAAAATGTCAAGCATTTGCTCTGTGTACTGCTCGTGTACTGTAGGCCCTTTTTCACTGTTTCTTCCTGCTAAAGGTGAAAAGCTAGTTTGTCTTACTCTAGCAATGTTTTCTTTACTCACACAGGCTTTCGCACACGTTTACATGTATGAGATAAAGATAAAGATTTCGTCTCTTAAATTTGAGAAAGAGATCAGGCAGATTTGGATACATAAAATTCTTTGATGCATAGTGATTAAGACGTTTTCATTCAATGCTGGAGGGGTAGAGCATATACTTCATTCGCGGGCAAGAAATGTTCTCAGGCTGTACTTTCATGTGCGTCGAATGGTTCGCTTGCAAAAAGCATGGTCAGGGCTAGAGTTCAGAGTTGGATGCATGAATCAGCCGTATGCAGTGCTTCTTGAGTGGCTCAGTCATGTTCTCTTGGTGTTCTCCTGGTTCTCTTGGTCCTTTCAAGAAATCCATGTATCCAGTTTGTCGAAATGATGCCCCTTAAATGGTTATTTGAATGCATTTTACTATATCGTACTCTTGTCTTAAATATGTTTTTTCCTTGGATGACTTTCTAAATATATGAGTGTAACTTTTTTGCGTTTTGTGGTTGACTCCTGCCCAGATACGCTACCAGTATTGCTTAATGAGTGTGATTTAATTTTTCTAGGCTTCTTGCAGAGATAAATATTGTTACGGTCTGCCTATACCAATAAAGAAATTGGTTTCTCAGTTCATGTTCTAGGTTCATGGAGATTTTGAAGTTGAAGCTTTGAAGGAATCTGCAGAAAACGGTCATTCAGCAATGAGAAGATAACTGTAACAAAGAAAACCCAGCTCAAAAGATATTGGACGCAAAATTTGTTGTGTTGATGTTTGTTGGTTGCTCTAGCGTTAATCTAGAGCAGGATGTGGTGCCTTGTGGAGGCAAAAAGGAAAAATCGAAAGTGAAAGTTTTAGGATGATTTTTTACATTCAAGCTGAGAGCTTGCATATTGGAGTCGTAATAAATTTAAATCCAGATGGTACATCAATGAGGTGATACCTGGAAAAAAGGAGCTCGAACGCTTGTCTCTAAGTGCTTTTTTAAGAATACAGCACTGGCAGTGCCGCTTTTCAAAGCTGCGTTTTGAACGCAATAAAACGCCGAAAGTGCCGCATTGCTATATCTTTCTTCAGGTTACTCCTATAGAGCTCTGGTTGAAATATTTGAAACCAGCGCTGTCTGATGCATCCGACAGTATGTTCGAAAATTGAAAATTCACAATTTTTTTGTGCCCTCCGGCGCAATAAACGCGATATTGCGTCGTAAGTGCCGCATTCTAATAGCTTCCCACAAAGCTACTCTTTTTGATTCACTTTATTATATTTGGACTCAGCACTGATTGCTCTATCCGACAATATATTCAAAATGTGAAAAAGTCAATTTTTTCATGTGCCGCAGGGCACAATAAACGCGTTTTTGCGTCGGAAGTGCCGCATTGTAATAACTGCTTTCATATTTATCCCACAAAAATCTTGTTTACACAGTTATCATCAGTGTCCCTTGAGCTATCCGACGATGTGTTTAAAAGTTTGAAAATCTCAATTAAAAAGCGAGTTACACGTTCTAAATCTTTTTGGCCCCTTTTTTGCACTGATAAGCTGATAACGATCCTCAAAGTAGTCGCACAAAATTCTGACAAGGAAGGCTTCCCAAGTCAGCTCGGCCAACCCGGATGAGTCATATATCACCGTAATGGGCTCAAGACGCTGATTCCAAATCTGCCGTTTCCAGCTGCGGAGCGGTCCTGTACGAGAAGTTATGGGTGGTATTTCCCTCCAGAGTTGAGGCACCCTTCAACTTGCCTCCCCTTGCTTATGAGCGCTATATAGGAGGCACGTGGTCGTATGGTGTAGTGGTAAGTGTCTTGCTCGATAGGCAGAGGGTCACGGGTTCGAATCCCTTAATTGTAACCACGCGCCTCCTATATAGCGCTCATAAACAAGGGGAGGCAAGTTGAAGGGTGCCTCAACTCTGGAGGGAAATACCACCCATAACTTCTCGTGCAGGACCGCTCCGCAGCTGGAAACGGCAGATTTGGAATCAGCGTCTTGAGCCCGTTACGGTGATATATGACTCATCCGGGTTGGCCGAGCTGACTTGGGAAGCTTTCCTGTTGAGTAACATATTTGAAACCAGCTCTTTGCCAGCTATCCAATGATGTGTTTAAAAACCTAAAAATCTCAAATTTTTTATTTCCGGTTTTATTGGTCCCTCATATCGATATTATTAGCTAGGCTGGCCCCGGCCCCTGGCAGCAGTGACCTATCATTATCGATTTTTGTCGTCAGGATCCGTTCAATAATATAATATATAAGTAACATTTACACACTGACTTCAATACTCCAGAAGTGCAGTACATAATGAAAATTGAATTTGAAATCTGAACTTCAGTTTTTGAAAAAATTCACTTTCATCCAAACTCCATAAATTTAGCATATTCTGAATCCCTAAGAAAAATCCCACTTGCAAATGTGTGAATGATCTAGCCTATCTTTGTCGAAATTGTATCATTTTCATTTCTTTGCCTATTTTAGCTGGCCAATTTAATTTGGTGCACCTACACTCAGATCTCATCCGAGGCATAAACCGACAATTCCTCCTACCTATAGTGGAATTCAGTGGCAAAAATCATATCTGATTTTTGAGAACCCAAACTCCAATTCATGATGTTGATCTTATTTTTTAGCTAATGTAGGACTTCAATAGCAGAGATAATGACTTTAGTTTTTTGAGAGTCTAGCTCCAACTCTTGCCGAATTTGATCTTGTCTTCTAGCTATTGTCGTAATAGGGAAAATGTCTGAATTTTGACATGCTTAGCTCAATTCATCAACATTTGCA